ATAATAACATACCGATGTTTCTACCAGCTATAAGGTCATCATACACAAGGGAATGCCCACGTGTATAGTAAACATGTATATAATAACATACCGATGTTTCTACCAGGGCCTGGTAAGGAGGAGAGTTTACCCTGGGGTGGATGGAACGACATAACGAACAATCTCGAAGACAATTCTAAAAATAAAATATCAAGAAAAATAAGAATTCAATCAACCAATTGAAGTCGTATTAAACACAATGATGATGATGATGATGATGCATGACGTTGTACGCTATAGGGGTGGCTGATAGTGATGATAGTGATGGTGATGATGATCATAAACGATGATGATGGTGATGATGATGTTGATGATGATGATGGTGATGATAAACGATGATGATGGTGATGGTTATGATGGTGATGATAAACGATGATGATGGTGATGATGATGCTGATGATGATGTTGATGATGTTGATGGTGATGATAAACGATCGATGGTGGTGGTGGGGATGATGATACCGGATGATGATGATATATGATGGTGATACATGACGATGAGGATGGTGATGGTGATGATGGTGATGATAAACGATGATGATGGTGATGATGATGATGTTGATGGTGATGATAAACGATCGATGATGGTGGTGGGGATGATGATACCGGATGATGATGATATATGATGGTGATACATGACGATGAGGATGATACATGATGGTGATGGGGATGATGATGATGATACATGATGATGATGATACATGATTATATTGATGAAGCATGAAGGTCATAGTGATGTTGACAGTGATGATACAGGATGCTGCTACTCCTGAGGATAATGAAGATAATTATGTTGATGTTGTTGACGATACCACAAACTTCTCCTCTCACCTTTCTTGGCTGTTCAAACGCGCCATCTTCATCTTCACATTTAACCCTTACTTCATCTTCAAAATGTACTCGTCTCTGATCTTTCTTCGCTATAATTTCCTTATCCATTTGCATTTCTCGTATATCCTTACGCTGTCTGAGCAAAGGACTCTCGGAGGATTTTCGGGTAATTTTCGCGGGATTTTCGGTAGACTTTCGGGTCACCTTCGGTGATCCTTGTACAATTTCGAATTCTGRAACAGGTTCCTTTCCAAGGTATTCTCCATAAACCTCTTTCCATTGGATTGGACCAGTRATCTTTGATTCACGTGGGCATGTACTTGTATATTCTTTTTGGCTGAAAAAAGAAAAAAAATTCATTGGCATAATATGGCCATGCATTGACTTAGATCTGCCCAGATGTTGTTACAGGGTAATTGATCTGCGAGTTAGCCCTGTCCTGATTTTGATCAGCCCAGAGGTTGTTTCAGGGTGAGATCTGTGAGTTAGTCATGCCCTGACTTAGATCAGCCCAGAGGTTGTTACAGGGTAATTGATCTGCGAGTTAGCCCTGTCCTGATTTTGATCAGCCCAGAGGTTGTTTCAGGGTTTCATATATGAGTTAGCCATGCCCTGACTTAGATGAGCCCAGAGGTTGTTTCAGGGTTTAATCTGTGAGTTAGCCATGCCCTGACTTAGATGAGCCCAGAGGTTGTTTCAGGGTTTGATCTATGCGTTAGCCTTGCCCTAACTTAGATGAGCCCAGAGGTAATTGTTTCAGGGTTTCATATATGAGTTAGCCATGCCCTGACTTAGATGAGCCCAGAGGTTGTTTCAGGGTTGATCTGTGAGTTAGCCATGCCCTGACGTAGATGAGCCCAGAGGTTGTTTCAGGGTTTGATCTATGCGTTAGCCTTGCCCTAACTTAGATGAGCCCAGAGGTTGTCCTAGGATGCTATGATGAGTTATAATAAAATAGTCGTACGTGTCCCGAATAGATAGAATACCTATAGCACAACTTACTTTGTAATCTGTTTGACTTGATTTATTTGTCTCTCTTTGTTGTTCTCCGTGTTGTTTACAGATCGTGAAGTAAGAGCTGCTGTATTGACAGACTTCACTTCGATTTGATTTTTATCTTTACAAAAAAATATAGTCACAATATTTAAATGAAATGAACAGATGAACGGATGGCATAGATGGCACAGATGGGATGGGATGTATGTATGTATGAATGGATGAATGCATGGATAAATGGATGGATGAATAGATAGATAGATCGATTGATCCAAATAAATGGCGAACAGTACAATAACCGTCTCATGAAAAGTTGTCAATTGCATACCAATGCAACCGCTATCTGAATACAATTAAGCTATTTCTGTACAACTTCCGACATTGTCTTCTCAGTGATATCCCAATTTGCCTTGGACGTTTATAAAATCTATCAATGTCCGTCACAAGTTATCTTCGCGCGANCAGCAGCGCTTGTAATGGAGAAGCTCTTTCACCTGCAGAAACAGATCTTGAAACATCAAGAATCTCGACCAACACAATCCTAAGTGGAAGCCCTACAGATGAGAAGCAGTTGATTGAAGACGACTCTCCCATCCCCCCTCATGAACACCATGAACATCACATAAGAAATGTGAGGCTAAGGACATACTCCATGGGTATGCAGGTTCCTGACCACGAGATTAAAGTACTTGATGAACCCAAGACTGGCAAGCTGTTTGCATTTTTACAAATCATGACGGCATGCTTTGGTGGGTTTGCACATGGTGGCAATGATGTTAGGTGAGTATTACATACACCCTATGGAGCTCTAGACCCAGTATGTGCAGCAGGTTCTAATACGGTACTGGTACTGTCTTTACTGCTACGTAGTTCATGGTTGAACTTCATGACGAGCCCCTTAAATGGATTAATGCATCTGAATGTTGGAGGGAGGGAGGGAGGGAGGAAAGGAGGTGGGAGGGAGGGAGGATGGATGGAGGGATGGAGGGAGGGATGGAGGGAGGGAGGGAGGGAGGGAGGAAAGGATGGAGGATGGATGGATGATGGATTGAAGAATGCTTGTATGGGATGGATAGGATGGATGGATAAATCAATCGATTTATCCAAACAAATGGCGCGCAGTACAATAACATCTCATGAAAAGCTGCGAATTGCATACCAATACAACCGCTATCTGAATACAATTATTTCTGTACTGTGGATCGGTACAACTTCCGACATTGTCTTCTCAGTGATATCCCAATTTGCCTTGGACGTTTATAAAATCTATCAATGTCCGTCACAAGTTATCTTCGCGCGAATATAAAATGTTTTCTTTCCTTAATATTTAATGTTAATGGCTTCGGGGGCGTTTAGTTCTAACACGTTGCATACGTGTGGATTTGGTGACATCGTTTAGTTCTTTTTGGTGATTGTTTACAGTGCAAAGACGCCATGCGTTCCGCATACATTACCTATATCAAACGCGTACTGCTTCAAACTACAGTACTTTACGAAAACCCAAGTTAGTATTGTAAGAGAAGTAGAGTTCTCTAGTTTGATACAGGATTAGGGGCTATGACTAAATGAATTCCTGTAGAAATGATCAAAAACTGACCATATTTCAGCGGGGAAATGTTCTAATTCTATAAAATTTATAAAATATTTTCATAACAATAGTCCCCTTAACAGTTCCCTGCGCCATCTTAAAAGATAACCATCCCTTTGCTTCGAAGCGAGACGAATGGTGAGCTTGCAATGATATAGGGATATTTGAATAGTTGTTCACTTGAGGTTTTAAAAAGATGTATCTATCCGATTGCAAGCAAACCGTTTACAATTTTTTCTTTCATTTTCATTAGAGAGAATATTTATTTGAGACACCAAAAAAGAGGGAATCCTTAGTATATAAAAATATATCAATTTTCATAGAATTAAAACTTAATTGTGTGTTCAATTTAGAAGAACAACTTAATGTTTCGTAAGTGGAGAGAATATTCTATTGTTTCTAAAAGAACGTGGAAAAAAAACACTAAAAATAGACCAAAAGAGTGCCATTAAAGGAACAAATAACACTACAAAAGGTGTAAAAAAACAGGGCTTAAATGACTTTTGCAGAGTGTTTTAACGAGGAACATTTTTAAAAGCATTATTAAGTTAGAGATTTTAAAATCAATAGCCACTTATCTCGATGGACATCGTTTTGGCTCTCTCAGCCTTAAAAAGATAGTTTTTTTCATTGTTTATCAAAACCGGATAAACGTACGTAYTGATGGTTTTCAACYATTCCCAAGAGAATKAAATAACAAAAGACACGRCGGYCATGTTGGAGGATATAAYAAAWCATTATTTACTAAAGGAAATGAAAAATGAAAACTTCAGTACCTCCATCTAAGATAATACTTTATAGAAATAACACTCAATGCTGTCTATGCCATGAAAAAATTAGGTTGGGGAAAAAAAATTTCCGGTCATAAATTTTGAAGTTCTTGTATATAAATGAACCAATTGTATTAATTATAGTTTGTTCCAGTTGTTGCAAAGAAATATTAGGTCGATTTATTATTTTTCTGGCCGGCAATTAATTTTGAAGATCTCGCATATGGTTTATGTAACCAAACGACTCAGGTTTTTTAAAAATTTTTAATAGTTTTTTTTTTCAGATTTATTTATGAATGATTAAAATTAGAGATTGGTCGGTGTACTCATGAAGTTATGGTCGATATGTAAGCATAATGGTCATGGACATACGATTTTTAAAATATAACGAATCATTTTACATTTTGCTCGGCATACGTATGCGATTCACTGCTCTAGCTAAACTGAGTCGCAAGTGTACGAATAATCCCTTTCTAGTCTCGAAAATAAACTATTCAAAGCAACTAAATTGCGACTTGAAATAACCAATATTCCTCCCCCAAAAATGTGTGCTTAAATTAATCCGTCTTTCTACGACAAGACGAATGCCTATGTCATTATTCTGGGAGACTCTGGACTTACCTTCGTGGAAGACCAACGATTGAAATTTATAAACTTTATGGTTGACCTTYGTCCATCTCACAGAACACGTATCACTAACAGCTTGGATCATGGTGACCAATGATTCTAGAAAATGACTTTATCGACTGGTACAGAAGATTTCTTGCTGAAAATRAAGGCTTATTATGTCTGTTAGTTCGGTACTAACTTATTATAATCGTCAGCAAAGTGAATAGTGTTAAAATACCGGAAAATATTTGCTTWTAGAGTCACGCCGACAAACAATAGTGTTAGGTTTTTACGTCATCGTCGAAGAGGATTTTTTTGTCAATTTCCTTTTTTTTTAAAGAAAGAATCTAACCTATGCTTTTACTGCCCATAAAACTATCAAATTTCAGAACCTTAAATTTGAAATTCAAAATGATATAATGTTAGGATTGATCTAGCAAAGCAAAAGGCTATAATTCCTCAAAACCGCGCGACTGAGAGCTATATATGATGGATAATAAACGATTAAACGGATAGCCTAAAACAAGAGAATATATGATCTTCAGCTCAAGATGGAGTGCTTTTAGATTAAAGAATTTTCTAGACTCTGATGCTGTTAGTAGATATAAAGAGAGATATTGATAGCCATTGATGTTGGTAATCACAGGAGAGCGAAAATAAACATTAAAAAGGCAGATTGAACAAAATGCTGACGAAACCACACAATTGATTGATTGATGAAGTCACATCATTTGCCTGAAAACTATTTTTCTGAGGCAATCTTCTGCCATAAACTGATTTTACCATTTCGCATTACCAAAAAAAAACACAAAAACACACACAACAGAATGATCAAAAAATTCTCAGTGTGATATCGGTACTTGTTGTTATCAGTTCGCTTTGGTATATTAAAACTCAGCAAATGTACGAGTTTCCAGATACGAATTTGATTATAATTTGTAAATATATGTACATACATCATGTATATGACAGCGTTTTATGTCAGATTTTACAAAAAGGTTCTTTTKCATGCTCAAAGCGAAAAATAACAATTTAGCAAGTCAGAAAGATTGTGTTATTAATCATTAAAAAGTATACTTTTACTTAAGAACGATTAGTGATGATTTTCAAAGGTACATTTAATCAAAAGCAAATAGAGGCGTGGCTAGTTTGATAAGTTGTCACAAATAAAATCTATTTTAGTATTATTAGATATTCTTCCTTGGTTGCTCTGTTCAGTTGTGACGTCAAAAACTGCATTTGAAACTTACCTAGAACTAGAATTAAATCAAAACAAAGGCTAGATTCGTTCGCAGATTCACTCCTAAGATATAAAAACGAGCAGATGAAAACACGGGAAATGTCACGATTTTTCTGMTAAAAAGCAATTTGAATCCAAAAGCTTCAAAGATGACACATTTCTAAACCTGAGTAAATAAATGGAACTTCACTGAATCGATGACAGACAGTATCTAAACGAGCCGGAAACACGCGGAGTTTAGTTTCCGTCACTCACTTCATTGTACGTAATGGAGGAAYTAAGTCACTTCTGTGACGTCACGTMGTTTTCTTGCTCGTAACCCACACGGGAACACGGATATTACATTACTGTTTGACTGAGTGGGGAAAAGACCTTTCCTGCTACTTAGCAAGATTATCAGCCGAGACTGGAGTCAATTCAATGAACTTCAAAATTTCGCGGCATATCACACGTTGAAAATTTACTTTAAAATTTCAGAAAAAGAAAAAGTACAGGTAACGTTGTTCTCTTCAATAGATTTATAATTGATTAGCGTTGAATTTTAGTACTAAAATTTAGTCAAAAATACGGATCTAATTGAGTAATGCTACTGATAGCGCCGTCGTTCGTTACCTTGTCTACTTGACCAAACCTTGGAATGAAGAAAAGAAATGCTTTTTTTATATGGAATCAATCAGTTTTGGAAAGTGAGTGTCGACTCTCCTCTTTTAAGGAAAGAAGGAAGGGAGAGCCGGGAGGGAGGGAGGAAGGAAGGAAGCAAGGAAAGAAGAAAG